CCCCACCCCCCACTGGCTGGGCCAGGAGCCCCGGGAGCCCCTTGGGGGGAGGATCCGCTCTGCAGCCTCCCCCGGGCCGCCAGCTTTGCTCTGCCCTCCTGGCCCTTGCTCTGCTAACGGCGCCTCTGCTTGTGCCCCGGCAGAGAGCAAGGTTGGCCAGAAGGCAGCGGGGCCGCGTGCTCCGGCCGGCACGGCAGCTGCGCAGCCTGGGGCGGAAGGAGAGAGCGTTTTCTCCAAAATCCTGCCAGGAGGGGCAGCGGAACAAGCAGGCAAACTGACTGAAGGTAAGGGCTGCCCCTCGGTGCCGCACGCTGCTCCGAGCCCAAGGGATGAGCAGCTCCTGTGCTTTGGGCTGGGAGAATGTGGGAGCAGTTAGAAGTCTTGTGGGGCAGAGAGGGGATGCAGCTCCGGATAACCCCTGCTCCAGGGTCCATTGGGAACCAATGGGCTATTGGTGGGACAGACGTGGCCAGGTGCCAATTTGAGAGGGGACAGCCCAGGTGCTGTGGAGCCGGATGGCTGGGAGAGGGAGCGGGGGGTGTCGGGCTCCCCCGGGAGCGCTCACCCCTCTCGTGGCTTCCCCTCTGCAGCGGTGTCGGCTTTCGGCAAGAAATTCACTTCGTTCTGGTGAGAGAACAGCATGAGGTGAGTGGCCCGGAGCCCCCTCATTCCGTGGAGCATCCCCGGCAGCGAGGGATGCTCCGACCTCCATGTGCGCCGGCTATGCCCTCACAGCTCCTCCTGCTGCCTCCCACTGCAGGAGCTTGGGAAGCGAGTAGAGGTCTAGTCATTGCAAGGGGAAAAACCTATGAAGAAGCCAGTGACTTCAGCACGCAGCGTTGGACTCTGAGTATAACAGTGAGTGTCCTGGGGCAGAGCCAGACCTGCTGGGGTCCCTCACATCCCGCCATCCCGCTGTGCCCAGCCCATTCCCGGCCTGCCAGCTCTCTCCCGTCCCGTTGTCCCTGGGATGGCAGTAGGAGGTGGTCGCGGGCACCCCAGGAGCCCAGCTCATGTCGTGGGCTGTGGAGAAGGGCCAGAAGGACCTGCCCTCTCTGCAAGAAGGGGTTGGGGGCGCTTGGGACAGCAGCTGGGCAGGATTCTTGGGACAGCAGCTTATTTGGGGCTACGCCATGAGTAGCAGGAAGGCTGGGCAGGCTGGAGCTGGGGGCGATGAGCAGGGAAGTGGTGCAGAAGGACAGGGAAGGAAGGTGGCAGAAGCAGCGGCTCCTGAGCAGGACCCTTGTGGGAGCTGGTGCAGCCCTTTCCCCTTCGCCCTGGGGCGCTCGTCCTCGTGCCTCGTCGCCTGGTCCCATTGCCAAACGCCTGCACGCGCAGCCCCGAGCCAGCGAGTGGGGGCACTTGGCTCCATTTGCCCAGTCTCTGCAGCACCGTGTGGGCTGATCCTGCTCCGGACACTTGTGCAGACACCGGTTTTGCCGGGATAGTTTGGGCGGCTCGAGCCGTTCTCCGGCGCTCACGAGTTCTGCTCCGGGAGCTTGTCCAGCTGCGTGGGTGGAGGCAGCTGCTCCTCCGGCAGCATCGCTTGGGCTGTTGCCACCACTCGCTCCCCTTCGCTTTGTGCAAGAGGGGTCGTGTTCCCTGCAAGCTTCTCAAGGAAGACAAGGACATGGTGGGGGAAGGGACAGTAATTTGGGGATGGAGGAGCCAGGCACGGCAAGCGCCACATGCGCTCGCTGCCCCTCGGCATCACTGCGGGGTGCCGAGTGACACCGGTGGCCGGGGGCGCAAGAGCCGCTGCGGCTAACGCTCCTCTGTGTGTCTCCCGCCCAGCTTTTGAAAGCAGGGCAATCCCTGGATGCTGCATTGTGTGGAGCAGACAGCGGCCGGAGCGGGGGCCTGGCGGAGGACCCTGAGCACACGCGCTCCATGCCGGGCACAGCGGAGCCTGCGGGGACGTTCGCCCGGATGCCGCCTCGGACGGGCCCGATCCAGACCCTTGTGTCACGTAGGTGGGGCCTGAGGCTGCCCCGGGCCCCCTCCCCCCCAGACAAATGCCAAGGGGCTGAGTTGGAAACCGTAGCCCTTTCTCAAGATTATACGCAGAGTTGCTCCCTCTGAATCTGAACTCTAGCGTCTTCATAGGTTTTTCCCTCTCTGAGCCATGTGCGAGTCGAGGGCTGGGAGCTGCCGGCTCCGTTTCTCCTTCACATTCCAGTTTGTCCCACCGGTCCCTTGCGCGCACGGGGCCTGTCCCCGTGCCGCCCCCTGCACTGGAAACCGCTCCGACCCCGAGCTGGGGCTCAGGAGAACTTCAGTTAGGACCTAACACTGTTTCATTACTGAAATAAGAGGCCATAGGACTCCGGGAGGCAGCACGGAAGCGGGCTGGCCTTTCCCAAAGCAGACGCCGGCCAGGCCCGTGTCTCAGCACGCAAAGCCAACCTGAAGCCATTCTGAAGCATTCAAACGGCAGTGCTTTCCATCGTACCGGCACACAGTGCTCCAGGCCACCTGGGGATCCTTTTTTTCTTTGAAGAACAGCCTTAATCATCCCACTTTGATTTCTGTGTATACCTCATCCGCACCGGGAGGGGGCACGGGGCTTCGTTGTCGAGGGCGGGGGGTTCCTTTTCGCTTTTCTTTGGTTTCTTGGGGTTTCCTGGGTTTGGTTTAGTTTTCTGTTCTGTTTCTTCTTTTTTTTTTTCCCCTGAACTTTATACCGAATCCTCTTTCCTCTTTGCTTTGTACGATGAGTTAACACATGGGGCTGTTGTCTGTAGAAGCAATAGAGCGCAGAAGGCTACTAAAAGAGCACAACCCAATGGGACAAGATCAGGAGAGCTTTGCCTCTGCCAATATCTCCTTCCTCTTAACTGTGCAATTCAAGTCCTTCTTTAAGCCATGACGCGTGGGCATGCTCAGAACGATGGAGAAGCAACTCAGAGCAGCAGCTCGCTCACCCCACCAGGAGGAGGTTTCTCTGCCCAGGGCCCGGGCGCCCAGGAGGAACCCAAACGAGACAGCTCGTTCCACTGTAAAGAACTCCAGCTCGTGTACAGACGCTCCGGTTCTCATTTGTGCGTGTCGTCAGCTTCCTGCCCGTCTCTCTCTCTCTCTTACGCTGAGCATGTTCCAACTGCCGTTCGTTGGTGTGACCCACCCCGCGAGTAGCAGCGACCGAGTCTCATGTCTAATGTTCTATGCAATGAAATACCACAACTTTAAGAACAAGACCTGTTAATAGCTACTAAGTTCAATGTTATGTATAAGGGTTTAAAGTGCAAGCGTGCCGCTGAGCAACTGGATAACTACTCTTATCAACCCACCTGTGCATATGAAGTTTAAGTTAGTGGCATGTTCGACCCACCGAGGGCCACTTTGCCAAAGGGTAGCCATAGAGCCCGTGACTGTCTGTCCTGTCGTAGAGCATGGCTTGCTACTTCTCTGCACGGTTTCATCTGCGTTTCAGTGCTTGCCGTTCTTTGCCTGGAGTTTTCTTTTCTCTTTTCCATCACTCCATCACCTGTACTGAATGCTCTTAGCACATTTATGCACTTGTTGTTGGGGACCTGCTGCTCGCAGTCTCAAAAGGCGGCCAGCCCCGGTGCCCGCTCGCTGCCTGCCCCTGTTTTCTTTTCTCTTTTCCATCACTCCATCACCTGTACTGAATGCTCTTAGCACATTTATGCACTTGTTGTTGGGGACCTGCTGCTCGCAGTCTCAAAAGGCGGCCAGCCCCGGTGCCCGCTCGCTGCCTGCCCC